AGTTCTGGCTATTTGGTCAATGAATGTCAAATGTTTCCTTATAGGGAAATGGCTAATATTTCCATTACCATATGCATAATTATTATTTTTCAGCACTGTTTTCCTAGAAATAAATTGTAAATGATTTTACTATAGAATTGCATTGAGAGATGAAGAAAAAGTAATTGTTTTTTTTATGGTTTACCAACCTTCTGCAGGTTATTTATAGCCTGAAAATATTTTTAGGTTATAAGAAGTTTTTGGAGATAAAAATGATTTACTGATACAAGTACTAATTGATCTATAGCTGGGGGAGAATAGGTTAGTTCATACATTTCTCAAGGTCAATAAATGTCAAATGTTCCTTTGGAGAGAAACAGATAATATTCCCAGTACCATTACTTGAACATCATATTTATAGTTGAATGAATGATTTAGTTGTATAATTTAAGATTGTATTTTATATTTGGTAACAAAATATTATCCTTTTTGCTATAATGTTATAACTTGTAACTATATAGTTTCCATTTTTAAATATCTTAACTTTTTAAAAATTATTTTATTTATAATATTATGCCTCTAGAAGAGTGTAATGTCACATTATGTACTGGCTTCAGGCATTTTAATTTCCTTGTTTTTTTTTTTTTATATAGATAAAGAAGACATCGGCTTAATATTGTCTTTATACCCTCAATACACAAATGACTAACACTGTCACATTTGAAGCATTTATTTTGAATATTAGCTGATATTATTATGTTTCGTTAACATTTTTTTTTTTCAGTTCAACTTGTAGCCTAAGGAAATAGAGAATTTTATAAGTTGGAGTAAATACAGTTCAACACTTTCAAGATGAAGTCTCCATAACCAAAAAAGATATTTGAGAATATAAATCACATTCAAAGTATCATGTGAGACAAAACTATCCCAGATGTTGAAATAAAACGTAAAATATATATATATAAAAAAAAAATCATATTTTATTGTCTGTTTACACTTTCATATAATAATAATAAATGTATTACAGAAAAAATATTGACAATTTACTCACCCTTAGGATGAAAAGACCCATACTAGGGAAGCATTTTATAGACAGTGGGATCTTGTTCACATTATCACTTCCAGCTATGACAACCTTTGGAACATATATAATGTATGTATATAAACATTATATAGATTACTGTTATATAGCATGACATGCTATACCATTTAGCTACAGAGGAAGAATCTGGTTAACAAAGTGAAATTACTGTTTTTAAACAACAAATTTCCCATTATTTTTCTCAAATGATTATATCTACTTAAAGCATATCTTAACATAAACAAATGACATCATATATTATGAAATGGAGTAAATTCAACAATTATTTTAATATATTTTCTGTTTATATGTTATTTTTAGTTCTTGGACATTCAGATTAGTAAATGTAGTTAATATTGTTTCTTATAAACAGAGCATTTACTTAAATATTTGTGTCTATAAAAATGATCTACAAACAGAAAATATATTTAAATAATTGTTGGACTTAGTCCATTTCATAATATATGTCATTTGTTTACAGTAACATATGCTTTGAGCAGATATGATTGAAAGAAACCATGGGAAATTTGTTGTTTAAAAATAGGTGACTGTCTATAAAATGCTTCTGCAGCACACTTCTCAAATAGCCCATTACAACTAAGTACAACTTTAAGCTGTAGAATGAGTAAAGGTCGAAAACTGGCACCTGTTATAAAATAAAATAAGACATATCTCGGCTGATTTACAGGCAAATAAACTAACATGCTCAAGAGCGAGAGCCGGATGTGAACAGGACAAAGCCCTGTCACAAAAGGACCATTATCTTCGTTTACAAATGTTCCCGATGCACGAGTTCCGGTCGAAAAATAAAATAATATTTAAAGTGTTCTATTTTTCGTCCAATAAAAATGCTTCCCTCCTAATTATACTCGCTTTGTTTTTTGAGCCTGTTAAGCCATAAAAAAACGCCATAAAAGGGGTCACACGGAAGTACAACAGGCAGTCAACAGGTGGCCAGGGAAGAGACCTGTCAGCGGTCAGGCCAGCGTCAACATGTGTGAACTACTATGAGAGATCGACGTAGATCCGAAGCCAGCTTATGAACTATACCATAAGGTAGCTGTCCCAAACCCTCATGTTCCTGTTGAAATAAATCTCGTAAATCTATTTCTGCTGTTGTTGTATTTCTTTCTTGCAACCATACGCTTGTCTATAACACACCTCATATAACCAGCTGCTTCAGGTGAGTGGAGCTTGACAGCCCAGGAAGGCAGTCCATCTAGGTGAAGGAAAAACCTGATTTTAAACCTCCACTGTCTTGTGGGCATATCCAAACATGGAAAAGGCTATGGAAGTAAATCCTGACAGAAAACCCAGAGTGGAGCCCCAAAGGCAGTTGGAGGTCAACACTGATAACTTTCCGGCAACTCTTGCAGTCAAACCATTCCCAAATATAATGCCCAGTATTGCTTTGGATATTGTCACTATGGCCAGCAGGAGGGACATGTAGTACACAAGCTTCATATAACTGCTGGAGAGGTTATTTCACTCCCACCACCAAAAGACTTTATTTTGACCAATAACTGCACTGCCTTTATCTTACAAGATAAACAGATGCATAACTGCACTGCCTTTATCTTACAAGATAAACAGATGCATACAAAGATGAAAAACACAAAATTAGTAGGTCATAAATAAAAGTCTGTCTAAAAATACTGGTCATAAAATTCTAAAATATCATATAATTTTTATTGAAAATATTAATATACTTACTGCTACCTTGAATATTTTAGCCTTTACATACTAACATTTATAGTTTTGTTTGAGTTATCATAAGATGTTGTCAGATAAGACTAAACTTTATTTTAATAAATAAAATCATCTTTTAAAGAATGAAAAGTGATTTTAAAATTTATTCTTTGCATTGACTTTGTTTCTTTTCTCTGTTGAATCATGTGATGCATTTGTGTAATACGGACATTTTTTTAAACAAAAAATCAACTTCACAAATCAAAGGAAAACATAATACTACGGAGATTATTTACATTTAGTGAAATGTCCTCATCTTTTTTGACTATTGTGCCCTCTGACCTTCTCCAGGTGTCTGTTGATCAAAGTAACCATCCGAGAATTTTGGATTGGACCTTTAACTCACTCTATATCAACAGTGTTGATAGCAGACAACTGCAAAAACTTTTACAGAAGGTAGGGAAGAAAAGATATAAAAGCATTAAACATCAACTGCAAGAAGATGGAATGCATAGTTATTAACAAAAGGATGAACCCAAAATGAAAATTATAAATTGAAGATACAAAAATCAAACAAGTACAAAAATCTAAATATCTGGGAAGTGTTTTAACAGAGAATGGAAAGGGATACACTGAAATCCAAAAGTGCATAGGGATGGCCAAAGATGCATTGCAGAAGCTAAGCAGAGTATCAAGAAACAGAAAAACTTCGGTAGAAACAAAGAAAAGAGTACTGAATTGTTCTGTGATATCTGTCCTACTATATGGCAGTGAATGCTGGACAATCTCCTCAAAGATGAAGAAGAGACTTGAAGCAACATAATGTGGTTCTACAGGTGGATTCTGAGGATACAGTGGATTGAATATTTATAGGAAATGGAAACAAAAGTATACATACTTAACATCAGAAAGAGACAGTTGAAATTTCTAGAGCACATAATGAGGAAAGGGGGCTTGGAAAATCTGATACTCACTGGACAAGAGGAAAACAACACATAACCTACTTAGTGAGCTTGAGTAAATGGATGATGGAACAAGTTTTAGGGGAAATAACAAAAAGACATAATTTACTAAAGCTACAAAGGACAGGAAGGTGTGGAAAGTTATGATCGCCTAAGTCCTGAAGGTACATAGCACATAAGGAAGAAGATCTGAAAGGGACACAATTATGAATGGTCAGCCATTATGTGGCCATCCTGGGTATGGTGATAAACTACATGCATGTCCCGAGTGAGACTACATTTGATAGCAAAACCTCTGATCAGGTGGTTTTGAGGAGCATGGAACCACCTCTTCATTTCTGGTGTTCCCATGACCACACTACCCGAGGTGGTAGCACCTTTTAGGGTCCCAGCTATGGGCAAATAGTTAACTCCTAAACTGGGGTCAAAACATTATAAAAGTGTAAAAATAGGTTTTAATAAAAAAATACTTTTTGTAAAAAATTATTACCAGCAATACACTATTACTAGCAATACATTTTTGGAAAAAAATATTATTAGCAATAGATTTTTGAAAAAAAATATTATTAGCAATAGATTTTTGAAAAAAATATTATTAGCAATAGATTTTTTGAAAAAAATATGACCAGCAATAGATTTTTTGAAAAAAATATTACCAGCAATACATTTTTGGAAAAAAAATATTACCAGTTATACATTTTTGGAAAAAGAATATTACCAGCAATAAAAATTTTGTTGGCATTAAATAACCCATTGAGTTTGACATGCCATAAAACAAAACAAGCCAATATGTGGATGGTGCAAATATACCACGCTAACTAGTTTATTCTTCTCTTGACAAGCCATACAGTTAAATAAGAATGACAATGGAACAACAAAACCAATTATTTCTCTGATTAATTATTTCACCAATTAAATAAAGGACCACTAAAAAAAATCAAAGTGGAATTCTAAGATTGTCTCTCTTAGTAATATTTCTTTATACAATTGTACTAACAGCACTGTTACTAATATAGAATTAGTTCTCTTTCTCTATTTTACTGTATTAGTCATATAATGGTATTTTTCTCTTCCAATTAAGAAGATCGACTGATAACTGACAGTTGTTGATCCTCAGACAGCTATTGATAAGTATTCATATGCACAAAACCTGTGTTAAAATGTGTAGCTAAAGAAAAGCATTATGGGTAAAAGATTTGCAGTAATTCTATTCCATATGTGTTGGCCTAATTATATGTGTGCATCATGTCAGCATCTATGCGCATCCAAGTGCATATGACTCTAGGGATATGTGCATCATTCAGGATGTTCAAGATGTCACACAAAGGCTTGAAAATTTTATCTTTTTTTTCTAATTAATAAATACTGTCAGATACCTTTCTGGATTTTTAATGCAACATCTGTTTATCTTTTTCAGTCTGTTTCTATTTATCTGTTTATCTCTTTCAGTCTGTTTCTATCTATCTGTTTATCTGCCTAAGTCTCTTGCTATCTCTTTTTCTGGCTCACACTGTTTCTGCCACTCTTTCTGTCTCCCACTGTTTCTATCTCTCTCTCTCCGTCTCCCACTGTTTCTATCTCTCTCTCTCCGTCTCCCACTGTTTCTGTCTCTCACTGTTTCTGTGTCCCTATCTCTCTCCGTCTCCCACTGTTTCTGTGTCTCTCTCTCCGTCTCCCACTGTTTCTGTGTCTCTCTATCACTCTCCGTCTCCCACTGTTTCTGTGTCTCTCTATCACTCCCCGTCTCTCACTGTTTCTGTGTCTCTCTATCACTCCCCGTCTCTCACTGTTTCTGTGTCTCCGTCTCCCTCCCTGTTTTGTGTGTCTCTCTATGTCTCTCTATCCTCTCTCCTGTGTCTCTATCTCTCTCTATCTCTCTCCGTCTCACTGTTTCTGTTTCTCTCTATCTCTCTCCGTCTCCCACTGTTTCTGTGTCTCTCTATCTCTCTCCGTCTCCCACTGTTTCTGTGTCTCTCTATCTCTCTCCGTCTCTCACTGTTTCTGTGTCTCTCTATCTCTCTCCGTCTCCCACTGTTTCTGTGTCTCTCTATCTCTCTCCGTCTCCCACTGTTTCTGTGTCTCTCTATCTCTCTCCGTCTCTCACTGTTTCTGTGTCTCTCTATCTCTCTCTGTCTCCCACTGTTTCTGTGTCTCTCTATCTCCGTCTCTCACTGTTTTCCTCTTCCCATCTTGTACTGTTTCAATCTTTCTTTCCATCTAACACTGATTGTATCAGTCTATCTCCCATTAATTGATTTACTTTGGTCTTTGTATTTCACATATACACACTTGAGGGTTGGTCAAAGAAGCTATATTCTTCTTTAATTATAACAGAATAATAGAAGCACATCAGAATTGATGCTAAATTATCAGGATCCCAAGTATAATTCTCAACATAGTATAAATGAGAAGGAAGGAAGCTCTTTGAACTCAATGTGATCCGAGGCAGCAACCATGAATAATCTTCTTGGCTGCTTTCATAACCATGTGCAAGTTGCCTCTTTTAGATCATAATCATTGGTTAACCACTGTCCCCTGCTTCCTTCATGGACTAAAAGAAAACAAATCAAAAGGTACCAGGTAAAGAAAGCAGGCTAGCTGAATCAAGGTTGTCCTGCGTTATGTTGTGATTGTTTGTTTGGTCTTTAAGCTGCTGTGCAGCCCCACACTGTTATGTTGCAAAAGACCACCTCTTATCATCAAAAAGTGGATTTACATTAAGAAAACATGGCCTGAGCTTAGACAATGTGCATACATGATTCAGAATTGATAGCAGTGCCATTGGCCTAAACTCTAAAAGTATTCCGACTTCCTTCTGGTTCTAAAATATAGTAATCATCACTTTTCCTGTCGAGTCTACTATCTTAAGTTTCCTTCTGGGTGAACCTGAGTTGATCTTCTGCTTTCTGGCTTACAGCAATGAACTCATGTCTCATCTGCTGCGATTATCCTGCTGAAAGAGTTACTATACATATTGTGCAGTTCCAGAAGATTGTGGACATCAAGCAATATCTGCTCCTTCATGGAGTCTATTATCTTTCTGGAAATCCACTTTGTACAGAACAATGACTAGCCAAGATATTGTACGAAACAGTGTGTGCATTGTGTGTATGTGTTTAGTGTTACAGAGAGGTTTTATTTTCCAAACACGGTTAGCACAATGTGGCTGTGTTTGTAGTTATATATATATATATATATATATATATATATATATATATATAATTGTAATGTAATTATTACTTATTATAATTTGATAAATTATGTATTTATTTATTTTAAAAATAATAGAAGTTATGAAGTTAATCATTTTTTAAAAATTTTTATGGTCATGTATATTGACCTGGGAAAGGAATATTTCTTCTAAATAGCCTTAGAAGAATTGATAGCTCTTCTCTGAAGAACTTTTCATCTAAGTTATTTTCTCTTTAAGAAGAAAAGTTTTCATTTTGTATTTATTCATACCACCAATTTACAGATATATTTTATTTATATCTGCTCTTGTTTTCCGATTAAGCACTGTGAAGAAAGTGAATTTTTAAAACAGTAGCTGCTCCTGCTTATAATGCATTGCTTTTCAGTTATGAATTGAGCACTCTGGCTTCTGATTTGGCATTTATATATATCACATATATAATACATTAAAAAATCCACTTTCTCTGGCATGTGATAGTAGCTTAGAAGTAGAGACTCTGACTGATGCCAAATCAGGTGAGTTTTCATCCTGGCTTGAATCAATTGAATGTCTAGCCACACTGATGAGCTGTGATACAGCAAAACAGGCTTGTGTGTGTATTATTTTGAGGACACATGTTTTAGTGTTCTGGTAATGTGTGTCTGTTATGAGTGGCATTAACATCTCTACCAACCTTGAAATAATACTTGTACCATTTTTTTTATCATTAGGCATTTTTCTCCTTAGGTGACTATAACCAGCATATACACTGTGTTTATGTTGACCACCTGTAGCATGACAACTTGGGTTAGCCTAGGGGCAATAAATGTCCATCACCTTCAAGGTTTTCACTTGCTACCTGACGATTACATGTCTAAAGTGTATGAAACTGTATCCACAGTCAACTAACATGACGGTGCTGTATTGTAAAAAATATATGATTGTATTTCAAATGAACACAACTAACCACTTTCCAAGCACTTCTGTCATCGATGACCCCAAGCCATTTTCTCTTTCTTATTTCTGGTTGTTGTATACATTGGCTTGAGAGAGATTCTGTTAGGAAAGGTGATACTGGAAAAATCCAGAGCATAGATTAATATTTGGATAATATTCAATGGTGGCACTCTTGGGGATTTTCCTTCTGAGTGAATTATTTTCTTTTTTATGAGTAGCATTTTTAAAATCAAAATTGCAGTTGAATTTATTTCTATGTATAACAAGTGCATTTGTTATATATATATATATATATATATATATATGCAATTTTTTATATCATAAATATAATAGAATAAAATAGAGTATTTTATATATTACAGATGATCGCAAATAGCATGAAACCCAGGCTCACAAACTCACATCAACATCAATCCAACTAAGTATATAGATATATATTACAAAAAAGGTCCGCATGTGCTTCTTATAATATGTAAAATAGATGGGTTAGTTAATAAAACAAGGAAAAATGAAAGAATACCAATATAATCAATATGGTAAACATTTATTAAATATTAATTATTAACCATATGACAGAAATGAAGCATGGCTAAAGATTTTAAGTTTGGAATGATCAGATATGCCTGTGTTCATCAACGGACTGAGGAATAAACAGAGATCGGTTTTTTGCTAACAATACAATTTCCTCTGGAAAATACACCATCTACAAAAACATCTGTGAGTAATTCCCATTTTCTCTGTTTATTCTATTATATATATATATATATACACACACATATTTGGGTGAATCAATACATCTGTAGTGTGGTAATTATTAGCTGCATTTGAATCTTAAATTTACACTATATAATTTTGTAAAGGCTATATTCCAGTTGATTAACAATTCAAGCTTCAAGAAATTAAAAAAAAACCCTTCAAAATCATCATTCTGGTCTGCCTAACACTGAGATCTTTACTTCAACGTAATGTGTGGATAGGAAGATATACATGTATTTAAGTAAATCAATAAGTATATAGCCAAATATGGAAAAAAGTTTTCTGCATAAATATTTATTTTCAATGCAATATCCTCCCTTTTCAATGTACTTGTTTGGTCATGAATATTAATCTCATAGATGGAACATTATACAATGAAAATTTAAGATCTAAATTCAGGTAATAACTAAGTGCCAGACAATGAACTTATCCATTCATCTTTATGTACATCACTAATAACATTTATTGGTAAGACAACGTATTGCTAGAGATCAGCCTGGTTATCAATAAATTTTGATTAAAGTATTATTATCCATTTAATATGTTTTTTTTGTCTGTTGAATTTTATTCTACTTTGTCTTGCAAAAAGAATGCAAAAATTATTAGTAGAAAATTCTCTAACAATATTTATCTTTATAAATATTTTTCTCACGCTTCTTTTATCCAATAAATTGTAAATGATAAGCATTGGCTCATGAAATTCTTTTCATTTGCATATATCTTCCACTTTTTCTTTGCACATCCAAGTAAATATTTTTTCACACCTGTCACTTTTTAAAGTATATATATATATTTTTTTTTACTCTGTGTCACTAAATATGCTTGAATTACTCATCACATATCTATTTGTTTAACATGTGTCTTGCATTTTTGCTTTTTTTTTTTTTTTTCTTAGCCTTTCTTATTTAACTGTCCATTCTACTCAGCCAGTAATATTTCATCTAAAGCCCAGACCACTACTTGATATCTTGTTTGTACATAGGTTATCATAAAGGTTGTCTGCCTGGAACAGATATTTCATTTTTAATGGCTTGTTCTGAAAGATAAGTTTCAGTAAATTTTACTTAAAAATAGATTGCATTTGGAGGAATACTTCGGTATATTGTACTCAAAATAAGATTATTTTGGAAGAAAAGCTTTAGTACATCGTACTCAAAATTAGATTATTTCAGAAGAAAAGCTTCAGTACATTGTACTCAAAATAAGCTTATTTCAGAAGAAAAACTTTAGTACATTGTACACAAAATTAGATTATTTCAGAAACAAAACTTTAGTACAATGTATTCAAGAATATCCTCATTACTGTTGTTGGTTCAAATGTACTTTACTTCTCAGCTGATTGTAGCAAAGCTTTAATTCTTCATTAATGTCATTTTTCACTTACATTCATTTCTACTTTTGCTATCAGCTTCTGTCAGTTCCCTGAAATATTATGAATAGGGTTGGCAATAATGTTTATTCATATAAATATTTCATTCTCAGTTTTTGCTTACTGTCTCCTCTATCTTATTCATCCCTTTTCGCATATGTTCACAAATAGGATTAATCTGTCATCACAATTTGATTTATTGATCAGTGTGTGCTTTGTTTAAACTTCTATCATAGAAATAATTTATCTAAAATGTGTGAGAACAAATAAGAAAAAACCTAATTTAAATTCCTAAACAAAACTATAGAAATTAATCTTAGAACAGACTCGATTAAAAACAACAAAGATGTAGATACTAACCACAGCGATGAACATGCTAAACCCCTCCATTAAAAACAAAGATTAAGATATTAACCCTGTCTGTTAAAAACAACAAAGATGAAGATACTAAACACCTCCATTAAAAACAATAAACATGAAGATACTAAGCCCCTATGTTAAAAACAACAGAGATGAAGACACTTGTCACCTATATCTGATATGGTAATTTACCCATGCATGCATGGACTCTTCGAGCTATAAATAGGAGCAGGTACTGCCTTTTAGAGGAGGGTAGTTTCCAGCAGTCAGCTCTGATAGTCAGACTAAACATTCTTGCTATAACACTCTCATTTGCATTACAGTTTTTGTTAATATATTTGTTTAACTCAATTCCTTTCTTGTGTCTTTATTTCTGGCCCTTACAAGGCCACAACAATATCACAGCAAAACTATTTTTAAAGTAAATATTATGCAAAAAAAAAAAAAGGTAAAATTTTAAGAAAGTGTTTCATGGAGAGATTCTGGCCATTATATCAAATAATTATTATTCCAAGAGAATTTTAGTTTCCACGGGACAACATAGGCTGAGTTACTTGTCTTTCTTTTTATTTGAAAATTCCAGTTCCTTCGTATTACTGAAATGAATGAACAAAT